CCAATATACATATATATATATATATATATAATAAACAAAAGGGTCGAACTTACCTTCGATTTATAATCATTATTCTCGCATGATAATTGTGAAAGGGCGTATTTTTTCAGGTGATGATGAAGGCAATTATTCATTTCTCTCCCCCACACCCCCCATTCTTTGAAAGAAATAAGCTTAACTTATTAAGACATACGAGATGAAGAATTAAACAAAAAGTCTTCCTGATGGTGCACACAATATATCTTTCGGTTCTTGTGTTCTCTTCCAAAAAGTTGACTTAAAATACCATAAATCTCTCTCGTTTTCACGCTTTCAATCATTAAGATTTATAAAAACAGGGAGATTCCTTCCAAAGAAACTAAAAGTGCTGACTGTATCTACAGACACAACGTTCATTGTTAAGTAATTAGGGTTAAGGCAGATAGAAAGAGAGAGAGAAAGAGTAAGAGAGAGAAGAGATAGAGAGAGAGGACAGCTGTTAGGTCTTCTTCACAAACTGCCTTAAATAAATCCAAACTGAAAATAAAAACACATCTATATATAAATATAAAACACTAAAGTTACTGGCAGAATACTAGAAACGACTATAATAAGTAACTGAATAATAATAATAATAATAAGTAAATGAATATTATTTGTTATTTTTCTAANAAACATTTAAAATCGTATATGACGCCATCTGTTATGATTTATTTATATTATTAATTATTATAAGATAGCGTAAAGCTTAATTTTCAAAGTAAGAGATGATCTTTATAAAGAAATTACAACTGCTAATCCCCTCGTAACGATTCCCTCTATCTCCCTAACCCCCCGACCTTTAACCACCAAAATTTAACAGCATCAATACCCATAACACACAAACTCCCCTGCAAAATTTCAGAAATTTTTGACAAAAGGCAAAGGAATTATTCTGCTTGAAAGTGGGTGAATAAAATCGTGTCCCCCCCCACACACACAGAAAAAATCCCTCAAGATTTTTGTAAAAATCTTGGAGGAGGAGGAGGAGGAGGAGGAGGAGGATTTTCTCATCATGTCCATACTTTCCCTCTATTAAATAAATAAATAAAATTTATCTTTCGTTAATATAAAATTTATGTATGCGTGTACGTGTAGTACGCTTATGTATATGTAAAGTAAATAACTACCTCGTCCATTACTCCTACGCGTGTATATAAACATTTACCTTTGTTATAAAGGGGTTTTGAATTGCCGCCTGTTTGTAACGGATATTTTATATTTTAATTGAGATATAAGTGTTTATTTTTGATATTTAATTTAGTTTAAATATAACATCTTGTCTTCCGTTATGATGTTGTCTCTTTGTTATGTATGAGTATTATGTTACTCAAATAATATTGAGTTATTAATAACCTACATTTACTGTGTCGCGTGTTACTTTTGAAGAATTTTAAGTCAAATTACAATATAATTATATTTGTAGCATATTTTTATATTATTGTACACAGTATTTTTTATAGTTTTTATAGTCGATAGGTTTAAGGCGTCACTCCTGGGGGCCTGGGAGGGAATCCGGGTAAGAAATCTCAGGATTTTTAGGGGGTGGTATGTGCTGGGTGGAGCCCTCCCTCATCACACGGACGCTCCAATCCCAGGACATTTTTGGGGGGTATATGTGCTGGATAGGGCCCGTCCCTCATTACCCGGACATCCCATTGTGGACCTGGAAGCAGTGGCGCGTTATAGATTCATGGGCGCCCAGGCGAATTTCAATTAGGGGCTCCATGTGCAGTGTTTACTGTAGACATTTTTCTTTGGGGGAATTTTTGGGGAAATATTTTCTTATAAAAGGTTGATTTGGGGTTCTCTGTTTGTGGGGTCCCCAGGCAATTGTTTTTTTTTTTTTTTTGCTCATAGGATAACGCGCCACTGTCAGACAGAATCCATTGATGAGTATGGTTAAGAAGGCCTCCTTAGTGCCTACAGGACGGAAATGAAAAATAAATCTTTAAATTATTGTAAATAAATATTGAAGATAAAACTAAATTAATGTAATAGTTTTTGTTTGTTTATAATTAAACAGAATAAATAAATTATTTTAAACTATATTAATTAAATTGTTTTTGTTTTCTCTTTTTTCAGATTGGAAGAAAAAAAAAAGAAAAAATTCTTGTTAAAAGTCACCAAAATATGGCAAAATGATTGATTCCTTAACAGTTCACACCTCATCTGTTGGAAACAAAATGTGCAAAACAATGGAAGAATTGATAAAGTGGATCTCGAGATAGCAAAAGAAGATCTACGTCCTGTTATGTACATGTGATTTATTTTAATTCTTTTTTTTTAAAAAAAAAGAAAAAAGAAATGGTTTTTTCTTTCTGTCCTGTTTTTGAATCACCAGGGATTCTATATTGTGATTGAACACTACCTCCAGTAGACAGAGATTGAGTCTACTTCCTCCAAAAGACCATACTGGGATCCACTGATAGATAATGTCTACCTCATCCTATTATCTGGGTCAATGGTAACTTCATCATACTACCTCAATCCTTATCGCGTATTGAAAATAATTCCTCCTCATTTTTGCCTAAATATATAATAATAAGAAGAATAAGAATAATAATATATATATATATATATCTTCTCAACATATACATATATATAAAAAAGAAATTGTGATTTTTTTAAATATGATAAGCTGTGAGAATATGTGCAAATCTTTCAACGATCAAATTGCTTCTCGTGTTTCGTATTTAACAATTTCAAGTAATTACAAGGATCAAGATAAGCTTGGAAATTACAAGAAAATGCAACGTGTCTGCTGTTTTTTTACTTCTAAACAGAGTTTAAAGCCATTGGTTTATGTTCCATATGAAGAACCTCCTTCTTGAAGTCACCATTTAATTACAATTAAGTTTAACAATTTGCACAGTATCACGTTCCTTTAAAAGATAGAAAAAAACAAAAATATTAAATAAAAAATAATCACCGAGTTCATGTTAAATCCTCAGGGAAAGATTATTATTCTATCTTATGCCTCTACCTCACCAAAATCGGAAAAGATAAACCCTACCCATTCATACCTCAGGAAATCATCCCTATTGATGACGAAAGAATATCTTAAACTTCATAATTTTTGAGGTCATTAAAAAAAAATCGGTTTAGAGTTCCAAAAGAGGACGACCTCCAAAAATTTAACACACACACACACATATATATATATATATATATACATATATACACACCTATATATGTATATATATATATATATACACACACATAGATAGATAGAGTCCTTTAAATTAGATGAAGATTTAACAAAGATATTATGGAAAATTCGGAGTCGTTTACTCTTAGAACATCTCAGGAAAATAATTTTAAAAAAAATTTAAAAAAAAAATAATGAAAGAAGATCCTTATTTTATAGCTTCTTTAAAAGGAGTTCCTCATCACGGGCCTACCTCAATTGTGGATCCTGGAATACACTACCTCACTAATTAATTATAATAATGATAATAATCAGCTAAATTTTTCTCATTCTACCTCACGACCATGTTTCTTCCCCCTTCTGTATAGAAATTAGTCAGACGTGAGCGCGATTGCGAACATTTTCTTTGTTCTGTTCGTTTTTATCTCGTTTTTATTTTGGACCACCCTCATCCGGAATGTTTTTTAGTAGCAAAATAGTACGCGTTTTTAGTCGTTTTTCAAATTTAAAAAACCTTCAACGCGGGCATTTTGGTGAAAAGTGGGTAAATGCCCAGTTGAAACTTCTGAGAAAAAATCCAAAAATTTTGAGTGACTACCTCAGGTTTCTATGTGACGCGACTACCTCGCTGAAAATTCCTGTCACAAATAATAACTACCTCAGTGATTTCTTCGTAGTCACAATATGCGTTTCTTTTACTTGGTGGAAGCATAGTCATGCATCTTCACATTGTGGAAGTATAACCATGTGATGACCTACATACATGGAACAAGAGGAAACTTTTATTTGTAGACACACTCCAACGTGGAGACGGAAAAAACACACACAAAAAAAACATCTTTGTTTTAGAGGATTTTTCTGAATGTCAAGAAAACGAAGGATCTCAACACTCAAAAATTCATTTGAGTACGATGAGGGAAGGTTCTTTGAAGGTTCTTATGTTGCAATACGGAAGAACTCGTGTGATTCTTAACAGAAGATCATTGTTTTTTCTTTATGTAACTTAAAAAATATAATACTTTACGAGATTCTTTACTTTTTAGTCAACGTATTAAGCAATTAACTCGAAATTACCATCGAAATTAATCGTTTATTTATAAAGATAAACCGAATTCCATGTATGAAAAGAATCTCGCATATACAATTACCTGGATAACAATTGGTGACTAAGAAGAAATCAGTGTTTGGATGAGAATAACATCAAAAAATAAATAAATAAATAAATAAATAATGATAAAAATAAGATAAAAAAAGGAATATAAACAAAATACTATGATTTTTCTTTCCAATGGATATTCCTGGTGATAATTTCTGTGTTCCTTTTAGTACTTCTGTCTCTTGTATTTGTTATTAAGTTTGTTTATATGTTCGCTAGTGACTCCGTATCTATTGCTTCTTTAGAAGAGGTTAATGGAAAATTGAGGTGAAGAATTTATAAATAATCTCTCTAAAAAAATAAGATAAAACTGGTGAAGAGTACTGGTGAGGAATTAGACTTGAAAATAATTATTTAAACAAAAATCTCTTGTGGACATCTCTTAAGATAATGATGTCTTAACTATTTATTAATTAATACATTTAATTTTAAAAAAATTGTATAATTTAAGTATAATTTAACGTATAGAAACAGCATATAATTTAATTAATTAATTATTATTATATATTTTATCTATTTTAAAGTATAATTCGTTATTAAATTTAATAATTATTTTAACATTAATAGAAAGTATAGAGTGTATAATATATAATAGAAGANATTAAATGACAATTAAACTTTATAATGAATAAAGACGTTTAATTACAATTAAATTTGGAATAAAGTATTATTAAAATTATTATACAGTGCATTTTATAATTGTTTAAAACAATGCTATAGTCACATTATTAAATCATTGAAAGATTTTACGCATAAAATAATTTTGAAAAAAGGTTAAAGGTCAAATCAAACATTAATTTTATACAGCTATGTCGTGGTAGAAATGCATTCATTAGTACCATAAGTTAGCAAGTATCACGTGTATCATGTTGCAAAATCAATTTTCGTAATGCATTGCTGTATTGCATTGGTTAATTAGGAATAGGGAATGATGTAAATGCAATTATTCATTATGAATTATGCTAATTAGGTAAACTAAACTTATCTTTTGAAGAATTTTTATGAATTGCTTCGTAATTTCACCTCATAAAGTCAATTTAAGTAGCTTTTCATGGTTTGATGCAAAGTATAAATGTAATTTTTTCTTATTGGATGTTGTGTATAACAAGGGGAAGTGTTTACAGTGTATGCACTTTTTTGTTTACGTGAAAATCTGATGCATAATTTCACTTTGTATGAATCATTTTATTAATTACTTTTTTAATGTTTTAATTGATAACAATTACAATGTTTGTATGGTATTTTAATTGTTATGAATCATTATTTTACGTGTATATTTACTTCCCATGAATTAATTAATTTTACTTGGTATTTATTGTATTTTTTTCCTCTTAGTTTGTGAAGTATGAATCATAATTTTAAATGAGATTTTTCGTTAGCTGAATGCTATTTTCATAATTTTACAGTCATTTATTATGTACTTTCATTTGATATTTAACATTATTTTACTGTTTTACTTCAAATTTACGTACACGATGCCTTTACTTTAAGCATTCATTTACCTAATTTACTGTTATTTACATTGGGTAAAATGAATTTTATATGTTCCTTTTACGTATTTCGCCGGTATTTTCAGTTAAAATACATACGTATACATGTTAAAATTCATAGAAAATGCAATTAATTCTTGACTGAAACATTCAAAATCGCAACAGTTCCGAAGCTACAGTATAAGGACTTACATATATATATAAAAAAGAATATATAAAAATTCCTATTTACTCCCACGTATTTGATGTAAAAGTTGGTCTTGATGTAGTGTATGAGATGAACTAAAACAAATATATATATACATATATTTTTTCTTCATATTTGACTCGTATGACGAGGTAATAATTATATAAAAAATATGTATTGATGTATCGTGGAGTTATATGTATATTCATGTATTGTTAATTATCGAGAGACGTTGTTTACTTTTGCTTAAAAAAGCATTTAACATCAGCGGGTGATGGTGAAGAAACTGTGAAAAAAAAATTGAGATAAATAATGAAAAAAAATAAGGTATTGAAGTGCATGCTAAACGGCTTTACATGGGATAAAGTGTATAAAATCCATGTTTAAAATATGTTCAGAGAATTGTTTAAAGGAGCATTATCATGTTCGAGCAACGATTCTCAATCTTTAAACTTCTCCTTTAATTTACAAATTATTTTAAGCTTTATACACTATTAAACTAATTTATTTTTAATTATTTTCTACTTAAAATAAAGTAATATTAATATTAAAATAAGTTTATAAACTTTATTTTCAAGCTAAAACAATGTTTACTTTGAAGAATATTTAAATAGAAAGTTTGAGAATCGTTGGTCTAGTGTGCCAACTTGAATNTTGAAGGTCCAAATGACTTTTTTTTTGGTAGAAAAGAAATCCTTATTTGGCAATAAAATCAAATATCAATAACAGTATGGTATACAGTTCGTTAAACTAGTGCGGAAGTCTTCCGTTTCTGGTCGAGCAACCCACCTTAACACCCTCATGTAAACCTCATCCCACAGTGCCTAAGATTAGTTTTTGGTCTTTCTAAAGATGGCCAAAAATAAAAATAAACAAATCCTTAAAAAGAAATTTGGCCGGGTCAAAAACCTGTTTCTTTTTGTCTTAAAATGTAGAATGTAAATTTGATATTTACCTTTTGACTAACACACAGCGTTAAGGTGTTCGAAAAGTCACGATTTATATCCTTAATTTTTATGTATGAAGTTATCTAGCTGAATTTATAGGGCCCTAGTTTGGTTTATTTTCTTTAATCTTATCTAAATCCAACCCTTGAATGTTTAATATATCAGTTTTTAGGGGTTAGAAAGGCATTATTTTGTCGTTGTTCGCTGCACTAATTTGCATTCAAGTAACACATTTGGCACTGTGCAGGAGGGGCAGGATGTATTATTTTTAAATAAACGATGGTCTAAAAAACAATTTTAAAAAAAATTAAAATATCCTACTGGTTTAATACAGTTTAATCTGTGAAAAACTTTCCTCTAAGATTATTTTAACATAAAAATAAGGATGTATGGGAGGATAATTTTGATGGTATCCTATTGGTAAGTAGATAAAAATCAAATTGTTTACCATGGCACGCGTCATAGGACGTCTGAAACCTCTGAATTACAACCGACGACATCGTTTTAGTGTCCAATGTCGAGTAGAAAATGTGGAGGAAAAGGGGAAAGAAGCTTTAATTTATGGCTAGAAGTCGAAGACGTCCAAGAGTGAAACAACGACGACGTCATCGTCTATCATGTCCTTTCTAGGTATTTGTGCCTAACTGAGGTACGTTAAAGGAGAGTTCTCCCTTGCCCTGTTTAAAGCATTGTTGTATGAAAAATTTTGGTTTGATTTAGGAAGAAATACTTTTTTTTTTAATTTTCATAAATGTAAAGAATGAAAAATCGCTGGCGATATCGCTTCGTCGCTCGAGGTTTCCGTCGCAACTTAAATCGATCGCGTATGAATTTTTTTTTCCAATTTTAATTTAAATCAAATTTGTAGAATTTTTATGAATTAAATTTATGAAAAATAAATTAATTTGGCTACTGGTTTTAGTGCAAACGATGTGTTGAACGTGGTATTTGTTTTCGTTACATTGTGTGACATCACTACTGAACAATACTTTTTTTTGCATTTTTTAAAAAGTATTTACAGTTAAAATTAGTAAAAAATAACTCAATTCTCTGTATACTTTTACAATGCCCTACACTAAAACATCCCTTCTATACTTTATAACAGTCTTTTTTTCTTTACATTTTCTGAACACCTTGTTAATCCCTTCATACAACTCTTATTTTATTTATTGTCTGATAAATAATAAATAAAAGCAATTAAATAATTGAAATAACTTTTTAGAAGCTTAATTTTAAATTATTTTTACTCAATTTTTCAACAGACATTTCGAGTGTAAAAACATCATCGTGGTAATGTAAGTGAAGCTGACGTCAAGTTAATAGGAGGTTGGTGAATTCACCACTTTAATCAAGAATATTGATCGAAATGTATGTATTGAAATGTAATGATCAATACTTGCAAAAAAAATTTTCGAATTATCATATTCAAAAGTCTTTATGTGTATGTTCTACTTGTGAAAAATACTATACTTGCCAAGTTCTAATGCAATATATA